CAGCCAGTTGAATCTTTGTGTAAGCAACGACACTGGAAAACTATTACTGCTGCTGCTACTACTACTACTACTACTACTACTACTACTCCTACTACTACTGCTACTACAGGGTGGGAATGTGTGTAAAACCGTGTGCGCGCAAGAGCGCGCAAGGGCGAAGCGCAAGACGATTTTCGAGTTAGGGGCTGCAACCTTAATAAAGAACAACCCCCATATAGAGTTTAAGAGTCTGTTCTGCATGTCATGTCCTTTGTTGATGCTCCGTAGTGCCGCCAGGCAGCAGTTCTGACACCGCCAGTGGCTCGTCAGTGCCACGGTGCGACGGAGGAAGACTTGCCCTGGCTATGCAATGTAACCGCCAGCTGCACGTTGCTTTACTACACTTCAATGCTCGGCAGGACCAAAGTGCTCTCGCAGCAGTCGCAGGTGGACAGGCATGATTGGCATCCTCTTCTGAGCTGGGGATCTATGGTACATACCGGCCGGATTGAAACATGCTTGACAGCTACAGTAAAGGCCAGCGGAGGCCGTGGGCCTGTTATGAGTATTTAGCAACAATCTAGTATGGAGATCCCAAACACAGAGACGCAGAACTTCTGCGAGAGGTTGACACGGTTCAAGCATAGACATGTATTGAATTTAATTTGATTGCGACTGTCAGAGGGCAAGTCAGGAAAGCAGTGTAATAAGCGGATATTGTTACAGCCATTCCAGCAATCAGCAAGGCCTCGGAGTTTTGGAAAGAAGCATTCCTGAGATCATGAGATGTCAGATGCAATGGCGCTGGCATCCGACTATGTGCTGCCGCCCAAAGACACGGTGTTCAGCACACTCCTGCGAGGTTTGAAGACATTTTCGGACGATCTGCAAGTCGGGGCCACCGACTCCAGCGCCTTTGGCTATGGCTGGTCCCAAGTTCCATCCGCTGCTCGCATCGCGGCACCCCAGTTGCTCCAGCCCAAGGCACCAACTTTGGCCCTCACGCTGAGAACCGGTGACCTGCAGCCAGTGCGGGGGTCAAAGACGACAAAGGCGGCCAAGACGGCTCGAGAGACTCCGTCAGTGACACCTCTGCGTCAGGCGCGTCGGCCGCGGTCAGCCGGTGCACACCACCAGTCCTTCCAGAGGTTGCCGAAAGCCGAAATGTGTCAAACACCGCGGCAGACGGGACTACCTCGTTTTGATGCTCCCGACAACCAGCTAAATAAGCGTCGGGGTTCTTTCACTTCCCGCGATGCTCCAGTCAATCAAGCCGCGAGTCCTCTCAGGCGTACGCTTCCTCCTGCAAAGTCCTGTCGGCAGCGGTCGCAGAAGAAGTTATCTTCAGACGACTTAAACCCTGAACCTGCAGAGAAGAAGAAAATGGCCAGTACCGCGCCTTTGCAACAGCAAGCATGGGATTCCGCTCGGGGTGGGGCGCCAAAGGCGGCTGCACAACCTGCGGCTCAGGCAAAGGAGGAAGGCACAGTTGGGCCTTCCGCCGGATCGAAAGGAAAGGCTGTGATAAGTGAGGCAAATGAGCAGACAGCTGGTCGTGTCCAGGGCACCAACAAGCCCATGATCGCGGCACAGGCACCGCAAGTCTCGCCCCGTCCGAGATTGCCTTCGATGGAGAAGAAGACTCCTAGGATGATGGAAGACTTCATCGCTCAGTCGACTCAGCACTTGTTGTCCCTTCCCGGGAAGCCCCAGCTTACCTGGCGGACGCTGGACTCCGAGGCGGACTATCGGGAACTGAAGGCCGGGGAGTACTTCAACCATTTCTTCCACAACCGGGTTCTCACCACAAAAGCTGGCCTTGCTCAGTCTTTGAAGGAACACTCCATATCCGGCGGCGTCAACGCCGAAGCTTTTTTCCCACGATGTTATGATATTGCCCAGAAAAGTGAAAGAGACGATTTCGTTCTTGATTATCGTCGCTCTGCTGCACTGCGAATCGTACTGCTACATCAGCGACTGCATCGTGATCAAGAGTCAATGCAGACCGCCGCCGATTCTGCATATTCATGCAACGAAACGGTCCTGCTGGCATGTACACGGGTCCTTCAGCGGTGGTGCCTAGATCTTGATCCAAAGCATTTGGATGAAGAGGGCGGTGACGGACAGCACATGAACGAAGAGACTTGTTGACAACCATGGCTTGCGATTGAATGCGCAAGGTTAATCCAGGTGAGCGTATATTTGCATGCCATGTTGGGGAGTTAGCCATAAAACCCCTAGATCTCAGGTTCTTATCAGTTCCGCTTTGTTTATGATGACGGGATGCGGCTACTAGGCACGACTCCATTTTGACTTCACGCTGCATCGGCTTAGGACCTCTGGGATGCGCTGGTGCTGTACAGCGAGCTGACACAGCCACAGCTCTGCTCCGGCACGGCGAACGTGCGGGTTCCAAGGCGTCCTTTGATTCGACCTGGGGGTGGCGACATGAAGGCGGAGGAAACCCCACGGTCTGAACGTGAGCGAAGCGAGCGAAGCGAGCGAAGCGAGCGCAACCGGCCGACGAATCTCAAGGATTGGCCGGAGTTTCTCAGCCACTCCTGGGGACAACTCGACAACAAGTCGCAGCTGGCCCTCGATCAGGTGGTGCAGAAACTCGAGGCACTCTTCCCGCAATGGGGTTTGCATGGAGGTTGGTCCGGGCAGAACGTCTGGATTGTGAAGCCCGGCACGAACAGCAAAGGAAGTGGAATTCATTGTATGAGCAACCTGGCAGAGCTCTTGCACCATTGCGACCGCATGCCTAATCGATTGGTTCAGAAGTACATCGAGAGGCCGCTCTTGCTGTTCAGTGGCCGGAAGTTCGACATCAGACAGTGGGTATTGGTGAGATCGGTCCGTCCACTGAAAGTCTTCATGTTCAGCGAATGCTATCTACGCCTTTGCAATGGCATGTATGATCTTGGCGACTTGCGGGACCGGGAGAGGCATATCTCAAACTGGCAAGTGAACAAGACACTCAGCTGCACAGAAGATTGAGCAGTTTCTGTTAAGCCGTAGGCTTTTTGGAGAAATCGAGCCGTCAGTGAAGCACCGACATCCCAGCACCATTTGGCATGTAACAGCATGTGTCAATGTTTGTGCATGGGCTCCTCCTGGCAAGCTGTTCGAGGCACGGGAAGAATGTCGTGGAGGGCGCCGTTGTGTCCCTCGCAGACTTCAGAGAGCAGCTTGCCGAGCTGACCGGCCGCGAGGACTGGGTAGGCAAATCCTCGAACGTAGCCATCGGAAGCGTTCTAACATCTTCCAGTACTGCTTCACGTTGCAAAGAACCGCCGTGATAGACTTTTCTGCATCACCGGTAAGCCTTTTCGACTGCTGGCATAGCTACGTCAGGCTTTGACGAAGTATGGGACCGTGAGACCGTAAGTGTTCCTGTCTGCCGGCACCCCGGCATGTGAGGACTATTGGGAGGCAGTCTTACTGCCAGCGATCAAGCAGATCGTGATTGAGGCAAGAAGACCGGTCAGTTGTTTCGAGACAGCGGTGTTTGATTCATCCCGGTGTGAGGTGATGCGGTCCGTGGAGGCCAGCCTTCAGCCCCGAGCGGAAAGCTTCGAGCTCTTCGGATTCGACCTCATCGTGGACGAGGCCTGCACTGCCACGCTGCACTCTTGAGCACAGGGTTCGTGTCTGCGCTGCGGAGGCAATGAAGCCGTGGCTCCTCGAGGTGAACCTCAGCCCGGGCTGCGAGAGCCGCGTGTGCTTTGGCTCGCACAGCAGCTGGCGGCCTCTCAGCCAGATTGCCACTCGAGAGGTCGTTCCTCGAGCGCATGCTGGCTCGCATGCCTATGTCTCAGAGCAAAATGTATCCCGTTGCTGAGTCAATTGAGCGCTGCATTCAGGACTCGTCGGTTGATCGAGGTGCCCGCGGCAATGCAGAGTTCACCAAGTGCCTGCAGCATGCAGATTTGCAATGACTTACCATGGCTTGCAGGTTGCAGTCCTGGGCAAGGAAGAGCCGGATGGGGACCGGGGGTTGCTGAGATGTTGTGCTGGCCTGCGATTTGAAGGGTTTCTGCGTGGTAAACGCCGAAGGCGCATCCTTAAGACATGCTGTTTATCGTCTTTAAGGAACCCATATAGAACATCTGGGGTCTCAGACACTCTCCTTCGGAGACATTGTGAGTTATGCTGGAGCCCAAACAGATTGTTACCTTGTACCTTGAGCTGGAGCACCCTGTGAATTTGACCTTGAACATGCAGTGCCCGAGAGGAAGTGCCTGACTGGATCAAGCTTTGTGATGACAGCGTTGGCTCGGGTCCCATCTTCACGCCAATATTCGACCAGCCTCAATTTGAAGAGCACCGACAATTCAACATTGCCTCAGGCACACAAGAGAGCAACGCAAGCCTGGACACGCCGAGGCAGGCTACTTGTAGCACATGTACAATTTTGAAAGAGGTAGTTTGAAAATGCAAGAAGGACAGGTGCACTTTTGTTCGTGATGCAGTCACAGCATCTGGCACACATATACCGCGTAGCGAAGTGTCATGCCTCCCAGTGTGAGAGGGAGAGAGACAGAGAGATACATGTAGAGAGCAGTCTCGGCGACCAGCTTTCTCCTACAACCAGCAAGTGTTGATGGCTCTGTCTTTGTCAAGCACTGCTGTGCTGCGGGGGAACTCTTTGCAGTTTTGCAGTGCTGGCTTGGACAACCTGAGCTTGTAGGCATGACGCAAAGTCTGCAGCCTTGGGTTTAAGGGGGGCAAGATGATGTGCACAATTCAGAAGACTTACACCGATGCCTTTCATACTGGCGCACGGGACGTGTGTGTTTGCAACGCATGGTGCCGACGTCTCCCAGATCGGCATCTTTGTGCATCTTCATAGGTCCTATCTGCACGCTGATTTACTTGGGTTGGCATATCAGCGCATCTTAATTACTCACTCTGGTGTTTCTGTTTTTGCGCGGGGTACCACCTCTGCTACTGAGGTCCAGGTGGCTTCCGGCATTGCAGCTAGTGTTGCTCATGAGGTTTCAGGGTTTGATGCGGTCTGAACCCATCCTGAACGACACATTTGGAAGCCGACAAAGGCCAAGATTTTCCTGCGAGCCGACGTGTCGACAAGACTACCGCCAACCAGCATGTCAAGCAATTGGCCCCCTGAGGCGGAAATCGGATGCACAGGCCAGAGAATGTTGTGTTAGGCCAATAAACACGCAGCTTTTCTACCAGCAGCCAATGCCAGTGTTGGAAACAGCAGTTATTTCAGTCCAAGCCAGCAAGCATGCTGGACAATCAGCAGGACTTTCACAAGCACCTTTGGAGGGCATAAGCGGAACGACACCAGACGAAAGCAAGAAAGCATACAGAACGCTTATTAAAAGAGTATAATCGATGCAGATTCTCATGAAAGCCCTATAAAGCCCACATTAGGCCTTGGCCTTGGCCAGGCCCTGTGCCGATTTAACAATCCATGGGACACCGCCGTGATCCGAGCTCCATCGAAGTTTGGGCGAGAGGCAAAGAGACGCAGAAGTGCGGGTGACACCTGTAGCACTAGCCCGAGGCTTCGGCCGCGGCGTGCCGTGGGTGGCAGTGTCGGCCTCAAAAGCAAGGGAGTTGATGCGTAGAGATGCTTTCTACCCTTCCGACTTCGTCGGGTCGCTTTCTTCGAGGCGTTGCTTTGCGGCCCTCCGTCCAGCACTCCCAGGAGGCCCGAAAGAGAGAGGAATAAAGTAGAACGAACAAACGAGGAGGCCCGCAGTGCTATGCGAAGGATGATGCCATTGTGCTCTTTAGGTCGAAAAGTATTTCAAATTCTTTGCGTCAAAGCCCGCAGTTGGTCCTGGCAGTTGGTGCTCCGTGAAAAATCAAGAAATGCCATGGGCTATCACTGGCATCGTGTATGGGGATTCTGCAGATCTCTGCTCAGGTCTTCCATGTGGACCAGGCGGGGCAGTGGAGCGTGAGTGTCACGGTCACGATCTATCTATCTATCTATCTATCTATCTATCTATGTATCTATCTATCTATCTATCTATCTACCAACCTAGCCCTCGATCTGCATCAATCAACCTATCTATCTTTCTGTCTGTCTACATCGCTCATTTCGGGCGCACAAGGCACACTTTGGTGCTGGGGCTCAGCTATCCCGGCCTTCTCGGGTCTTCTCGAGCCCTTGTGTCTACATACATACAAATATATATATATA